ATAAACACCTATTGCTGTGATTTACGCAAGTAGTGAGTCGAGCCCGTCATCGCTAAATCCATCTTTAAAGACATATGTGTAATTTCCGACAGTAAAATCGCCGTAGTTTATCGATGCATCGGTAGGTTGTTTGGTGTCCGCCATGTTAGTGGGCAGACAAAAATAGTGCATTACCGTAAACCATGTATGATTGCGCACGGAAAACAGAGACCTGTATAACGTGATTATATACCTCTGAATGACTTTAATTAACCAATCACAATCCAGTGTTTACTGAAGTCATGGTAGAATGTATCTTTATTGTTATTTTGTCAGGAATCATTCCGTGTCATTTCATTCCTTCTAAACAGAATAATCTCAATCCAATTTCAAATCTGTCTGTTTGGAGTTTAAAAAAACGTTGGCTTCGAAACTGGATACCTAATGCAGATTCGTTTGATAAATTCTGGCCATAAAATGATCGAGGTAAGCTCACAGTTGTTACTTTGAAAACGAAAGAAAAATAAAGTATAACCACTGTAAACGAGCCTAACACCTATTCTACTAAGCCATTGTAAAGACATGGTAAACATTAAGATAAATTAAACAATGCAAAGAGTGGAAATATCTAAAACTTTTGAAAACACAATTTTCACGTTCCTCTTAATATTAACGCTTTTTTGTTGAATGTATGGTGTATGGCAAACAATGTAAACTGTATGTTAATAATCATTATGTCATCAAATGTAACGTCACAATACAGGTAGATTTCTTTTGATAAACATGCAAATGAAAATCCCACAAGGAATCTTAAAGGTCACATGCAACGTAAAACACAACTTTGGAGATTCTGATACCTTTCGGTATGGACATACCGAAACAAATCGTCAAAAATGCAAATTCAACTTATAAAGTTGAAAAATAACGCGATGAAAAAAAACCGCGCGACTTTTCTGGGGAAAACGGGTTTCAACAGCTGGGCTGCGCTCATAGCACGTGCGCAAGTAAATAGGTTCGCCCAGCTTGGAAGCGGGTTGTCGGGTGAATACTCGGTGAAGGCTTTGGTGTGAGCTATTTTTCTAATGTTTTGTTGATATCTCACAGACGCAAGCTTTTTATATGTTATGACAGTAAATTAACTGTTTCTATAATTTCATTTGTCTATTTCACCACACGTTCTTCTTACCGAGACACTTTCTCAGTTCGATACTTAAAAGCAATGTCATTATTTAGCGTTGACACAATTTCTAACTGTGATATAGATATGTCGTTGTCACAGACAAAACTCAATGTCTTGTTTTATTGACACCTGTGTGTCTGCCTGCCTGTCTGCTAATGACAATATTCAATACACAGCTGCTATCACTGACCACATGCAATTTGAACTTAGCACCAATCAGGCTATACACCATAAACAAAATGCATTGATTTATGGCCCGAGTTCGGTCTCTGTCACATTATGTAATTACACAGACAGGCAGGTGTGATACTTGAACACAAGACATGTTATGATGTCTGCAAAATGTTATACACAAAAAATGAGCATGTATTTACAAAACCCAACATCTCTCTCTATATATACACACAATTAGCCGTGAAGGCATCTGCAAATGAACCAGCCGTTACACTTGAGTGCACGCCCACCCGCTCTGACTGGGTTCGGTATCCCGGCTGCTTCGTTTCTTGGGAAGTAAACCGAAGTACACAATTTTGCACTTTCGATTTGCGATTGTACGCTTATAATTTTGTTTATATATTTTTTCGTAACCAGCAATGTATATTACATGTCATGAATAAGTGATAATTGTGTTTTAATTATGTTTGATTTTTTGGTTGCATGTGACCTTTAACTGTCTCTATATAAGTTTCCCATTAAATCATTTCTTAATTAAATTGCATTTTCATAGTGTTCCAGATTATATATAATGCAAACACACAACACACAATGTAAAATCACAGGAAAGCATTTACATCAATATACTAAAAAACAAACAAATTACTTTTTGGTTTGATTTTCGACCGCGATATATATCAGGTTTGTTTCATGGTTATCAAACCAAGCAATTTCTTATACGTATTTGATTGGATTTTCAATAAAAGCAATTCCCTTAGCGATTTATGCAACAGGTTGAAAACAGGGGATCGCGCATCTATAGATCATCACATAAGAAACAGACCAATTACTGTCCAAATGCAAACAATATTATTGAGTGAATAAGGAATTACATATCTTACTGTTGCAGCAAAACACAAATGCACGAATGATTTGTTATGAAACATGCACAACAAAGGTATTCTGATATAACAGACATCTATGTTCAGTTTGGGTATTCTGATATGACAGATATCTATGTTCATCTTGGGTATTCTGATATAACAGACATCTATGTTCAGTTTGGGTATTCTGATATGACATATATCTATGTTCATTTTGGGTATTCTGATATGACAGACATCTATGTTCATTTTTGGTATTCTGATATGACAGACATCTATGTTCGTTTTGGGTATTCTGATATGACAGACATCTATGTTCATTTTGGGTATTCTGATATGACAGACTTCTATGTTCATTTTGGGTATTCTGATATGACAGACATCTATGTTCCTTTTGGGTATTCTGATATGACAGATATCTATGTTCGTTTTGGGTATTCTGATATGACAGACATCTATGTTCATTTTGGGTATTCTGATATGTCAGACTTCTATGTTCATTTTGGGTATTCTGATACGACAGACATCTATGTTCATTTTGGGTATTCTGATATGACAGACATCTATGTTCATTTGGGGTATTCTGATATGACAGACATCTATGTTCATTTTGGGTATTCTGATATGACAGACATCTATGTTCATTTTGGGTATTCTGATATGACAGACATCTATGTTCATTTTGGGTATTCTGATATGACAGACATCTATGTTCATTTGGGGTATTCTGATATGACAGACATCTATGTTCATTTTGGGTATTCTGATATGTCAGACTTCTATGTTCATTTTGGGTATTCTGATATGACAGACATCTATTTTCATTTTGGGTATTCTGATATAACAGACATCTATGTTCATTTTGGGTATTCTGATATGACAGACATCTATGTTCATTTGGGGTATTCTGATATGACAGACATCTATGTTCATTTTGGGTATTCTGATATGTCAGACTTCTATGTTCATTTTGGGTATTCTGATATGACAGACATCTATGTTCATTTGGGGTATTCTGATATGACAGACATCTATTTTCATTTTGGGTATTCTGATGTGAGAGACATCTATGTTCATTTTGGGTATTCTGATATGACAGACATCTATGTTCATTTTGGGTATTCTGATATGACAGACATCTAAGTTCATTTGGGGTATTCTGATATGACAGACATCTATGTTCATTTGGGGTATTCTGATATGTCAGACTTCTATGTTCATTTTGGGTATACTGATATGACAGACATCTATGTTCATTTGGGGTATTCTGATATGACAGACATCTGTGTTCATTTTGGGTATTCTGATGTGACAGACATCTATGTTCGTTTTGGGTATTCTGATATGACAGACATCTATGTTCATTTTGGGTATTCTGATATGACAGACATCTATGATCATTTTAGATATTCTGATATGACAGACATCTATGATCATTTTGGATATTCTGATATGACAGACATCTATGTTCGTTTTGGGTATTCTGATATGACAGACATCTATGATCATTTTAGATATTCTGATATGACAGACATCTATGATCATTTGGGGTATTCTGATATGACAGACATCTATGTTCATTTTGGGTATTCTGATATGACAGACATCTATGTTCATTTTGGGTATTCTGATATGACAGACATCTATGTTCATTTTGGGTATTCTGATATGACAGACATCTATGTTCATTTGGGGTATTCTGATATGACAGACATCTATGTTCATTTGGGGTATTCTGATATGTCAGACTTCTATGTTCATTTTGGGTATACTGATATGACAGACATCTATGTTCATTTGGGGTATTCTGATATGACAGACATCTATGTTCATTTTGGGTATTCTGATATGACAGACATCTATGTTCATTTTGGGTATTCTGATATGACAGACATCTAAGTTCATTTGGGGTATTCTGATATGACAGACATCTATGTTCATTTGGGGTATTCTGATATGTCAGACTTCTATGTTCATTTTGGGTATACTGATATGACAGACATCTATGTTCATTTGGGGTATTCTGATATGACAGACATCTGTGTTCATTTTGGGTATTCTGATGTGACAGACATCTATGTTCGTTTTGGGTATTCTGATATGACAGACATCTATGTTCATTTTGGGTATTCTGATATGACAGACATCTATGATCATTTTAGATATTCTGATATGACAGACATCTATGATCATTTTGGATATTCTGATATGACAGACATCTATGTTCGTTTTGGGTATTCTGATATGACAGACATCTATGATCATTTTAGATATTCTGATATGACAGACATCTATGATCATTTGGGGTATTCTGATATGACAGACATCTATGTTCATTTTGGGTATTCTGATATGACAGACATCTATGTTCATTTTGGGTATTCTGATATGACAGACATCTATGTTCATTTTGGGTATTCTGATATGACAGACATCTATGTTCATTTGGGGTATTCTGATATGACAGACATCTATGTTCATTTGGGGTATTCTGATATGTCAGACTTCTATGTTCATTTTGGGTATACTGATATGACAGACATCTATGTTCATTTGGGGTATTCTGATATGACAGACATCTGTGTTCATTTTGGGTATTCTGATGTGACAGACATCTATGTTCGTTTTGGGTATTCTGATATGACAGACATCTATGTTCATTTTGGGTATTCTGATATGACAGACATCTATGATCATTTTAGATATTCTGATATGACAGACATCTATGATCATTTGGGGTATTCTGATATGACAGACATCTATGTTCATTTTGGGTATTCTGATATGACAGACATCTATGTTCATTTTGGGTATTCTGATATGACAGACATCTATGTTCATTTTGGGTATTCTGATATGACAGACATCTATGTTCATTTGGGGTATTCTGATATGACAGACATCTATGTTCATTTGGGGTATTCTGATATGTCAGACTTCTATGTTCATTTTGGGTATACTGATATGACAGACATCTATGTTCATTTGGGGTATTCTGATATGACAGACATCTGTGTTCATTTTGGGTATTCTGATGTGACAGACATCTATGTTCGTTTTGGGTATTCTGATATGACAGACATCTATGTTCATTTTGGGTATTCTGATATGACAGACATCTATGATCATTTTAGATATTCTGATATGACAGACATCTATGATCATTTTGGATATTCTGATATGACAGACATCTATGTTCGTTTTGGGTATTCTGATATGACAGACATCTATGATCATTTTAGATATTCTGATATGACAGACATCTATGATCATTTTGGGTATTCTGATATGACAGACATCTATGGTCATTTTGGGTATTCTGATGTGACAGACATCTATGTTCATTTTGGGTATTCTGATATGACAGATACCTATGATCATTTTGCTTGCTAGTAATCTCTATGCATTACAAACAAGTGTAGAAGTGAGCCAAGCTCACATACCCCCGCTTCCCACTTTGGGACATGGAAATGACTGATATTGATATGTATAATGTGACAAGGATCAGCAGCTCACAAGACTTTCTCTTTGACTCTACTAAACTTTATATACATGTTAGATAATAGTTTTGGCATGTACTGATTACGGTAATATTTTATGGAAACTAGATTTTTTTGTGTTTTCTGTGGTGAAACCGGTGACCGGACAAAATCCACCCCAAAATTGCCACCCCGGACAAAATCCATCTTTTCTTAACAAGAAAATGGACAAAACCCGCCCTTCTCAAATTGCTATTGTTAAAAGTTTTAGTGTGTCCTGATCTTTGATCAAGTTGTTTTTCTTAAAAAAAAATGGACAAAATCCACCCTTCTCAAATTGCTATTGTTAAGAGTTTTAGAGTGTCCTGGCCCCGGGATCATGAAAAAATCTTAAGTCTAAAATTTGCTTAGCACAAAAAAATCTTAAGTCTAAATTTTTTTGCTTAGCTAAGATTTTAGATAAGACTGGATCCTGAAACTGTCTCAGCCAAATCTTACCTAAGGGGTGGATTTTGTCCAAGGTTGCAATTTTGGGATGGATTTTGTTCAGGTGGATTTTGCCCGGGTGGATTTTGTCCTGGATTCGGTGAGGAATCGGTGAGAATCCAGGGGTGAAACCTGACATACAATTGAACTTGACTGCCTCATGTGGTTTAAACATATTTATTTCATGAAAAAGCAAAGACAGAATTTTCATGAACTGGATTGGTCAACAAGCTCGAAAGAACTTATATGAAGACCGCTCCAATATACATAGATATATGAAACAGTATCATGACAAGAAAAGATGATATCTAAAATGAAAGTAGATGGTATGACATGTAGTCGGAAACTTAAAATCCTGATGTTTGTATACATTCATGGCATCTGCAGTCGGGATCCATAGTAGTATAGATTTGAGAATTACAGGTTTTAGTGTATGGCTTGCTCAGTTAAAGCGCCTAGTTTCAATTATAAGTAGATGGACTGATTTTAAGATATGTGATTGAATTTGTGGGTCCATGGAAGACGTTCCGTATAAGATTATTTCTAATGAAAAGCCATTGGTATAATAAAATTTATTTATTCTTACAGCATCAAATCTGGGACATACAAAGAAATAATGACGTGCATCTTCATTAGGGTGGCCACACAAACAATCTACTCTCTCTGATATATGTCTGTTGCGTTTGTCAGCGTTGAGATCACTACATCCTAACCTTAAGCGACAGTGGAGGATTTGACAAACTCTTTAACCTATATTTGGATCGAAATGAATGTCTTTAGCTCTATGACTTAAAGCAGATGTAAAATCATTGATGTCTGTAAGAGATTTAATATTTTGCGGTAAAGCATTCCATAAACTTGCAGCGTCCGGTAGAAATGAATTGTCATATAGAGCAGTACGGCAGGCAATAGTTTGCAAATGCGATGTGTTACGTAAGGGATAGTTACTTACTTGAGAGACGAAGGAAGGGACGAGTTCGTTTAGATAGTGGGGTAATCTGTTATGATACATTTGACAAATGTGATTAGTTCAGCTATTCTTCTTCTTTCGCGAAGAGAAACAGAGATGTTTCAGCGTAGATTTTATCACGACTGGTGCCGCGAACAGCTCCACATATTGTACGTAACGCGTCAAAGTGCATGTTTTCCAAGATTGTTGCTTGAGTTTTGGTACAATTGTCATAAATATGGCTACAGTAGTCAAAGATCGGAATTATAAACGACGTATACATACGATTTAGGGTGTTTCTCGTTAGTCGATATTTAAGGGTTCTTGAGCAATTTATCAAGGGGCTGACTCTCTTAACGATATCGTTTATATGTATATCCCATGTACAATCGTTTTGAAGAGTTATACCTAAATGTTTATGGCTCGAAGTTTCTTCAATTCGAACGTCGTTGAAAAACAAGCTTGGATGAGGATTTGAATTTGGTTTTCTACTGAATAAGACTGTTTTAGTTTTGGAGGGGTTGAAATCGATTTTCCAGGTTTTTGCCCAGTTTGCTATTTTTAGTAGATCATTATTCAGACTAAACGCCGCTACGTAAGGTCATCTATTATTACATAGATAGAAGTATCATCTGCAAATAATCGTATATTACTGTTAATGCCTTCAACAATATCATTTATGTAGACCAAAAACAGAAGTGGTCCTAGAACAGAACCCTGCGGGACGCCAGCTTTTACCGGTTTAATATTAGAACTATAACCATTTATGACTACACGCTGGGATCGATATTCTAAATAACTTTTAAACCATTGTAATAGTGAACCATCGATTCCACATGATTTTAGCTATGCACGAGACCTTTGTGCCATACTCGATCAAAAGCTTTGCTGATATCGCAAAATACTGCACGTATTTCCTTACCTTCGTCCATTGCCTTGGCTATGAAATTATACAAATATGTCAACTGATTCACGCAAGAGTCCCCTGGGATGAAACCTGACTGTAAATTGGATAAGATGTTATTGCCTCTGAGATAGTTGAAAACATGTTTGAATATACATCGCTCAAATATTTTAGATACACAACTAGTTAAGGCTACTGGTCTGTAATTTGTACGATCATTTACACTTCCCTTTTTGTGACGGTATAACGCTTGCTTCTTTCCAAACTGCCGGGAATACGCGTTGTTGAAGTGATAGATTAAAAAGTTCCGTTAAAAGGGGTGAAATACTGACAGCGATTAATTTAAGAATTCTATTTCCAATGTCACCGGTTGCTTTCATAGCATTAACACTCATTAAGATATCATATACTTCACTGTTAATAAGTTTAATTTCTGATAGACTATTGATTGTCTTTATATTGATATCGGGGGGTGTTTCAATCCGGATTTTCTACTCGCGATTGCCGAGTGAAATAATCATTTAGAGAATCAGTTATATCTTGTAAATCATCGCTTACATCATTGAAAATCAACGGGGGAAAAATTATAGTTGTTTTTATTTCTCTTCACGTAATTATTGACTAATTTCCACCAACATTTGTCCGTAGTGGATCGATTTATCGTTTCATCTAGTTTATTTGCATACGCTCTTTTCGCTTTTCGGATAGCCGAGATTACTCTATTTCTACTTTGTCTGAATCGAGCCCAACGGGTAACAGAATTGTTCCTCCTAGCGAGTTGATGATGTCTATTGCGCTTACGTATTAGCGATCTAATTTCGTTATTCATCCAAAGTGGATCAGATGGTCGAATAGTAACAATTTTATTTGGGATATTCTTGTCACATGTATTCCTTATTATAGTCGTTAATTTATTTGCTATGTCATCCACTAGGTTGTTTAAGAATAAGTCATTAGTGTCAAGATTATTGATATCAGAAATCATACCATTAACGTCCATATGTTGAAAATCATATATTTTACGTTTAAATGTATCACACTTGGGTCTTACAGATTTGATATCAACATATATCGGACAATGGTCACTGCAAATAGGGTCTAACATCCCGCGATCCTGCACTTTTTGCTTATGAGATCAATTAAAGTACTGTATTGCGGGGTGATTCGAGTTGGTTTGTCAATAATTTGGGTTAGTCGGTGTAAGGATTCCAATAATTGAATTTTAGGATTGCTTTCATTTAAAATATCTACATTAAAGTCGCCAGTAATAACGGTAAATAAGTTAAGATCAACAGCGTTTCCAATTGACTGACCAATTAGTTCCCAGTACGCAATGCTCAGGTCAGCTCTGTGGAAGGTACTTATGAGGTAGGTACGATGTTTACATTTAACATGAACCCATACGGCTTCAAGTCCAGCAATGTCGAGCTGGTGCATATGCTCCACATACAAATTGTCTTTAACATATATAGCCACACCGCCCCCGCGACTCCCTCGATCTTTGCGGAATGGAGGTTGAAATCCCGGTATAAGAATATCATCGTTCGGAATGTCTTTATGCAACCACGTTTCAGTTATGCAAATGATATCAAAAGAATTAAATTCAACTTCTATAACATCTAATTTGTCTTTGAGACTGCAAACATTTTGGTGGACTATCTTTAAAGTATTTAGTACTGGGCCGGGGTTAGGATGTACGTCTCCACAACAGAGTATTACAAGAGATGCGATAATATTAACAGGTTTGCTGAAAACGCAAAGATGTCGGGATAGAAAAGTGAAAATATTTAGTTTACAAGCTGCATATGAGTGTAGCCCGACTGCAAATGTCCCCACTGCCTGTCTGTACTGACTGATGTCAACCGGCATCTATACATTCAAACACTCTATTGCACAGCAAAACCATCATCTTCTTGTTTTAAATACACACAAAATGTCATTTCTTTCAACATATAAGTTTGTAAATAGATATCACAGTCAACTGAGGGAGAGTAAAAGCATCCAATAAAGTCAAAGAAGATGTTTTTATAAAAGTAGAGAAAAGAAAGAAAACATGTAAAAGAGAGGAATGAAAAAGTCCACACCATCATTTCGATGTGATGGGGAAATACCATGGTGGAAACAGTATGGGTAATTAAAATGAAATAATTTGTACAGAAAGGGGAAAAGTGCCATAAACCTGCTAATTGCTATAAAAGCAATAGTAGGGAATAACATACCTAAGGTAAGTTTGTATATCATTGTTAATTTTTGATTAATCATATTTATGTCTATAATCGCTAGGTGTTATGCATGTTAGCTTACATACAACAGAAACAAGTGTGTATGTTTAACTGTAATATTAACTATAAATAATATTGAAAAATAAAATAAAATTATAAATAAATAAATAAATTAAAAATAATAAATACATATACATATACACACATACATACATACATATATATACATACACACATACATACTTATACACACATATACATATGCCAAAGTATTAATAGTAATAGTAAAGCAAATGAAAACATATATAAAAAATATAATAATAACAGTGTTGAGATATCAAAGGGAGTCAGTCAGCCAGCACGAACTTCAACAGCAGTAACATGTCCTACAACAACAAAAGCGTTACATAACTCGTGCGCTTACATAACTCGTGCGCTTACATAACTCGTGCGAGGTCACGTCAACTAATCCGCGTGGCTCGTGGATACCTGCCGGTTGTGAGCTCAAAATATTTATGGATAATTGAGAAAACAAACAACCTTGCGATGTCCTCGAAGGGTACCTACCATGATTAATGACTTTCTATCCAGTGAGTAAAACCCTTGTGTTGAATTCCTCAATATTTTGAACATAAATAAAATAGAGATCTGCAACAAAACAGTAACCTCGGCGGGTTGCATGATTTGCACGTGAAACCGTAGACAATCATAACGTAAACAAAAGCAAAGGGGTCAGTGCAGACAAAGCTTCTATTGTCTGATGTTTAAGTAAAGTTTAAGAACATACATAATGTGAGTCAGTGCAACAAGACAAACAATCCGCTTCGTTATTGTCAATATAGTTATTTTGTCAAATATACCGTCGGGTATTTACTCCACTTGCCTAGGAAGATGCTATATTACATGTCAAAGTAACAGCAATGAAGTTCAGCTGACATTAATTTACCCACGACAAATGGAGTCTTAATAAAGCATCAGAAAATTAAGAACCATTTATGCACTTACACACTTTGTAGAGCGATAGCTTTGATTGGTCTCGTCAGTGCTTTCAGCATCAGGTAAAACGGCAATACAATAACACTGGCGTATTTTACATGTGCAACCATAGATGATCATAGGGCAAATAAAAGCAAAAGTGTCGATGTAAACAGAACTTCTATTGATCGATGTTTAACCAAATTTAAGCACATACATAATGTGAGTCTTAGTGCAACTAGACAAATAACCAACTTCATAGTTGCCAATATAAATTGTTTTATCAGCGATACCAGTTTAATCCACTTACCGAGAAAGATGCTATATTAAATGATGAAGTAATAGCAATGGACTTCAGTTAATATTCATTTACCTACGACAGTTGGGGTCTCAACAAAGTAGCATAAATTACGAACCAATTACACAAGAACGCACTTTGTGGAACGATAGCTTTTTGTTTGTCAATAGATTTGTATTAGGGTAGCACTTTTAGTGAAAATTATTCCATCCAAGTATGAAACATAAGCTGATATTCAATTATTTTTGGCACAACACATTGAAATAATGATTGCAATTGGTCGTTGCTATGACAGAAAAATAATATATATATTCACTATTAATAATGCTGTTTGGTAAGGTTGATACATCAGGACCATAGAATCTGAATATCGTGATTGTTGAGAATAGAACAGTTCTGTTTAGGTATGCAAATCAGCTGGCAAGTCATTTGGTATTGTTCAATTAGGGTAGCATCTTGATGAATATTGTTTCATCAGGATATCAAGATATCAAGCCTGGACTAGTATACGGTTGTTGGTGACAGAACACAATGAAGCAATGATTGCAATTGATCGTTTATCTTGTAATGGAAGCATAGTTACTGTTGATATTGCTGTTTAGTAGGGAAGGCACAGTAACTCAGCATCTTAATATCATGGTTGATGAAACTAAATCATTTCTGTTGTTGATGTGTAAATGAACTGGAAAGACATTAGCTATTGTTCAATAAGCGTAGCGTCCTGAGGTTCAGCAGCTCACAAGACTTTCTCTCTGACTCTACTAAACTTTACATACATGTTAGATAATAGTTTTGGCATGTACTGATTACAGTAATAATTTATGGAAACTAGATTTTTTTGTGTTTTCCGTGGAAACCTGACATACAATTGAACTTGACTGTCTCATGTTGCACACAATGGACGTAGATGAAGATTGCTATTTTTTAGCACATGGCATATCTGTGGGTCATGACTAACTTGTGTATTAAGTTTGGTGAACCTAGCATGTATAGTTTCGATGATATGCCGTGGTCAGGTAACCATCAAATACATTTTGCATGTACCTAGCATGAACCTAGCATGTAAACTTTAAGAGATACTAGTATGTTCCGACAAAATAATCCAACACATTTGGCACTAAGTCATGTTTCCATGGGAACAGTTATCCTTAAGCCATCCATCACCCAAACATTGACATATCTAACTAATATCTCAGACTGGTAGGGGCCAGTAGATACTTAATCAAATCATTTCAGATACTATGCGTGCCCCTTTATTGACAAACTGACCATCTGTATCCCAAATGTCCATCCACCCAATTGTGTAGGAACACCAGTTTGAACGTTTCATCCTCATTTATGTCAATTCAGAGAAACTGTTATTCCCCAAGAAAAGGGAATCAATAAGAGTTCGGTTAGCTTGGTCAATGCACTTTCCCAGAATTCTTAGGTTGTACCTACCTGAGAAGTGTAGAAGACATGTTAGAGCAAATAACATTTTTATGCAACAATTGCTGATTGAATATAATAAATGCAAACATAATAGGTATAACAAATCAAATCAAATATCGGAAGTTTGGAAGATCTGCTCCGGACAAGATGATATCCTCATAGTCACAGCGTAAGTCGTGTTTCCATGGAAACAGTAACAAGAAGACAAAGTCATCAATATCCCCCACAATGGCAAAATACTCTTCATGAATATGTCTACGAGTTATGATTATGTCAAATATTTTGGTGTGTATATAGAAAAGTGGAAGGAGAGTATTGAAAGGTTTTGAAAGTTCTGCTCCAGAAAGGAGCACTATCACCAATTTCAGTCTATGTCAAACTTGTTGCCATGGAAACGCCAAAAATATTTTATTCAGAATTCCAAAACTACCAAAAGGCACAAGTACACCACCAGATATATATGAGGTATGAGAAGTTTGGTGAAGACATAGTGAACAGTTTTAGAGTTTTGCTCCGGAAAAGACAAATGTGCACGGACGGAGTCCATTTTAATACCCCCCCGCAAAACGCGTTGCTGGGGATAAAAAAACTAAATTCTGAAAAATCTTCCACGATTTCCGCGTTAGCACCAATCATTTGCATATAGAGGTAAGTGTATGTTGCCAATTGCCACAAAGCAGGGGGATCTAACTTGTTCGAATGAAGTGCATCCGTTCACCTTTGTTGGTCTGCAAGAAAACGGAAAGATGTATGCACCATATGTAATGTGACTTGTATGTCATGACGATGTACCAGCATAGAATGTTAACAAAACTTCAGTAATGAAAATGGACAAGAAAATAGACAATCACAATATGTGTCATAATCTGTGACACTACAGACTTGAATTTGAATGGCGTTTGTATAAACACTATATTTGAAACAAAATTTCAAAAAATCTGGACGCAGATGAATCAACAATGTCATTAATGTCATGCATTTCCCTACTGATCATCGCCGCGAATAGCTGTAAAATTGCTAATGCGGTGCTAAGCTATACTCACTCACTCACTCACTGATATCAGGGATGTGAGCACGAGTATGTTGCTGACAAACATACACATACATTTTGCTGAGTAATACACACGGGACTAATGTACCATCACGGACTGACTGAGTTTAGTTTTACGCCGCTTTTAGCAATATTCCAGCAATATCACGGCGGGGTTCACCAGAAATGGGCTTAACACATTGTGCCCATGTGGGGAATCGATCACGGGGACTGACCTACTTTCACAGATGCTTGAACATGCTAAAGGGACGCAACTCTGCATAGCGAATTATGGCTAATGGGTCGCAAGTGCTGTAATTTGAAACCTTGCTCAAGCCTAACTTTACACTAACATCAAGTACTTTCATGATTTAACTCTAAGAAACAAAATACTCTAAATACAAAATACATCTGAAAGAAGCAATAACTACCTGGTTAAACTGCACTATCCTCTTGTTGCGTCAGGCCTTGGGATACCATACCATTTTCCACTGTAAATATTACAGAAAAAATCATGTATTATTTTACATCTATATCCAATCTTAATCGAAATAATCGAATTATATAACAATCTTCCTACCGGCCAATCGACATCGTCCTCTGTTGGTTACCAAGCCATGTTGGAATTGTTTCTAACTCAACGACCGATACTGATATTAAGGCGGCACTCAATAAATCTGTGACACGACCTCTTATTCCATACTGTGATAAGATATTACATCTGTGATCTAATGCAAAATAAAGTGGGGTACCCAAGTAGGCATAAATATATTACATCAAATAAAACCAACAATTGTTTCAGCTACTTCTTTTGTCAGTCCAGATTTGAAGAGGTCATTTTGCGATGATGTCGCATTGGCCACAGGAGGTATACTCATGAATATTTATTGAAAGATGAAGATATTCCGTTTTACATCCCTTGCGATGAAATACTCATGGTAAAACATGTCCTGCTTGACTGTATTGTATTTTTTGCTTTACTAGGGATAAATATTTCATTGTCAAAACAGTGACTGATCTTCTTTATTACGCTCATACTCATTTAATTCTTAGTTGTATAAAAGAAAAGTTTTGGAATTGATTAATTTTGAATTTGTATTGCAATTACTAATTGCATTTTAAATGGTTAGAATGAATGAATAACCTGGACTGTTAGTGACGATAACTTCAGAGGGGGTTGAAGTATCGTACAAACACTAAAATCGAACCAGTAAATATTAGTAAAGACCACTTCTGATCAGTAAGGTGTTCCTCTTTTGTGTAATTCATTCATAGATAGAATAACAGATATCCGATGACTATTAGTCTGATACAAGTTATATACTGTGTCAAACCATGGATCATGAAAACCACACTTATATACTGGCCAGATAACGGGGAGTTTGAATGTTGTCACAGGCTAACCAAATTAACCTTGTTTCAAGAGTGTTTAGCTAACATACACAAACGCTTACCTTCTGAGCGAACATTCTGATTTTCACCAGTGGATTTGCATTTCTTCCTGAAAACCACAACAGCAACGGCTGCGATGACGATGACGATGACAACAGGGACAGCAACGGCAACAGGGTTAGCAGTTCCAGAAGAATCTGCCAGATTATACACAATATCAGTTATCACATCTTACAGCTTATCCATGTATTCAGTTTCACATTCTATTTACCATGGCTAAACTTTAAACCCATGTTTGGCACCTAAAAGAATTACATACTTCATTAGATACCATTGTGATGAGCCATCATATGTGGGTAAACCTTGTGGTTCAAGATTTTGGCCGTTTTGTGGCCAATACCAGGTCTTATTATATAAAATAATAATTTCACCAAACGATATTTCAGGCTATATCAATGGGAATTCCGGAGAAACACCTTGGGTATTTACATAAAACTGCTTTTAATATATAAATTATCATACTTACCAGTCGCAGGACGTTGTTCGTCTTCACCTAATATTTGAAAAAAGATAGACTGAAGCTATATTTGTTTGGAATTCTACGAATGTTTATATCATTCTCCAAATCGTTCATACTTGGCAACATTTATCAAGCAGTTGCTGAGAAAGCGTTCACAATATGAGTAGTTTTATTGTGCATACCAAAGTAAATGAAAACTGAAACATTACAAAGATTAATTATTTGATTCAATATTTTGAAATTTGCAGTGGCTATATTTAAATTTAACCTATATATCTCTACTAATTCATGATAATATTACAGTGCATATATTTCTTAACATTTTATATATTTTTCACAAATTATTCTTAACAAGGGATCCATATATGTGCAAGTCGCCGTGCACATTCTACATATGTATCTTGTATGTAACCCCACGTGTCAAGCGCAGCAGTGGTCAGTTAGCAAACGCATCAACTCCAACCTTAAACTAATTAATCAAGGATGAAGTTAGAGATGTTGGCATCTGCTTTTCTTCTCTTGTACATCCCTTGGTCAAGTGCGGATACGTATTCCCTAGTCCCATCCCAGCAGGTACATGTTTGACCATCGACCGAGGCGTAATTAAAATATTCCTCTTCATCATTCCAGCTTCTAAATGCCACTTAAGGAAGTTACAATAACTGCCTGACAACGGTACAATAATCTGTGTGGAAACATGGCACTCACGAACTAAAGAAGTTGTTATCCATAACGTTTGTCTATATTGCTAAAAGGTTTGAAGTATATATTTATATGTAGTTTCGTGTGTTCAGCACATGCTTAGTTGGCGCAGTTGGAACTTACTTGGTCGCCAACACTTTATAAACGTTTCTATTCTGGCCTTACGTGTACATTGTATACCATCCATACAAGACCACCACGTTTATTTCAGTGTCGTACTTACCAGATTCAGGAGGCGGTTTATTTAAATAAAAGTTTGAATCTATGTCAACTGGTGCATGATTATTAGCAATTTTCATTAACAAATGTATTTCCCAAATCATTTTTTTCATTGCGCATTCGAAAGTATACTAGCCACATAAAGAAACTGTGCATTGTCAAAATGTTATCCCAGTTGATAAGTACGATAACAATGTCAAAGGTACATATAAACTTTAATGGAGGGATCATGATACCATAACAAGTCGGGAGAATTTCAATTGAAAAGACAATCACAATGACGTCACGAGTCCACAAGCGGGACAGGGGTCAAACGACCAAGTCACAAGCTCAAAAACGGGTATGTCCACCATCGGCATTGAGAACAGCAGTGCATCGATGACGCATAGAGCCTATCAAACGTGCAAGGAAGGCTTGTGGGATGTCACGCCATATTCTCTCAAGTTCTGTTGCAAGGTCAAGGACGTTATCTGGCGGATGAGGAAGACGGCGTAGACGTCGATGCATCTCGTCCCAAACATGCTCTATCGGGGAGAGATCCGGTGAATTTGCAGGCCAAGGCAGTAAGTCAACGTTGTGGTGTTGCAAGAAATCCATAGCAACCCTTGCCATATGAGGGCGGGCATTGTCCTGTTGAAATGTTAACCCGGGGCCATGACGTTGCAGAAAAGGAATTGCCACAGGTCGAAGAATCTGATCCCTGTAGCCCACACCAGTTAAGTTGCCCTGAACAATCACCAAAGGAGTTCTTTGGCGTGCTGTTATTCCACCCAAAATCATCACGGAACCACCACCAAAGCGATTCCTCTCCAAGACACAGGCCGGTGCATAACGTTCTCCCACGCGTCTATAGGCACGTTGACATCCATCAATATGGGAAATGTTAAACCTGGACTCATCTGTAAAAAACAACATTTCTCCACCAAAACAAGGGTCTGCGGACATGATTTCGGCACCAAATTCAGCGAGCTTGTCGATGACGTTGTGTCAGGATAGGCCGTATGGCGGGACGTAGTGGTCTGATCCTGTGATGACGTAAACGTTGTTGAACTGTGTTGGGGTGGATACGGCGAAGTCCTGGGATGGTTTGGGCAGTCATCACTGCAGTCTGAAACCTGTGGCGCAGATGGGTCACCCTAATCCATATGTCCTGTCTTGGCGTTGTTACACGTAGACGTCCAGAGCGTGGCCGATCGATGACGTCATTTGTGTTCTGGTAGCGTCTCACCAGTGCAGAAATGGTGTTCTGGTGGCAGTGGAAATGTGCAGCCACTTGTCGTTGAGACATTCCCCCACGGACCATCCCAATGGCCTCATGACGTTGTGCAGGCGTGAGCCTTGGCATGTTATGCGTTTCAATAGCCGTTTAATTTTTTGAACGATCGCAAGGGCAGGGGTTGAGCTTTCCAAAGTGACAGCATTCATTTGCTCTGTTTCTCTTTGCCGGAATGCACGTGCAACAACGTATTGCACGTCTCAAGGACGAACCCACTGACATCACGGAACGTGGCACGTGCATGCATGCTGGATACATGTCACTAATCTCTGAGTTTAAATCCTTATGTGTCTACACAGGTTTGATAAATTTAGATTTTAAATTTTTGTATGCACAGTTTCTTTATGTGCCTAGTATATATCGAATACTATGATGTACTACAACTGTTTACGGTTATCCCGCCTTCTTGTCTTTAGTTAGATTTTCACTTTCATTGATCCCCACGGTCAATATCATATATCATCCCCACAATAATCTCATATTTACTCGGCATCTCTTTCCGGTCATCCTTTTGCCATACTTCTGTTACGTGTCGTAAGCTTCTACGATACGTTAACGAGTTTGGCAAATGACAAATGTACAATAATTTTATACTTACTAGTACAAGTGCATTTCTGTTCACCCGCATCTAAAACAGACATGAAAACTTCTGAGAAACGAAATTCCCTAATTCTTGGCCGAATACGGGTATTGATGAACACATGTCTCATGATCCAAATAATTATATGACCTATCACAAGATGACTTTATATTATGCATACACAAAATATTTTGAATGATTCATCCTAAACTATGTTTGTTTTCACCAAGAAAACAATATAAATGCAGTCATTTTTATGTTTTATTTTTCTACATATTATCTGTCAAGCTCAAGCAATTTGGTTTTGCTATGTTCCAGTCTCACGATCCCTATTTGTTTTTTTACCTTTATCTTGGTACCCTCAAAAAACGCAAAATCAACAATAAATGCATCAAAACCTTCAGGAAACAAAATATGCAAAAAAAATATTTTGTGTGTTTGAGATTGATAGGAGTCCCCTAGAATCACACTTAGATATTAAAGTTAATAAAAATGTAATTTTCTGATTAAAATTGATATTTTATACTTATCCTGACTCATGCTCTTTTGCTGGTCTTCTTCTTGCGAACATAGTGGAACACTTGTATCTCCCAATTGAAGCTCCCTTCAATGTAAAATCACTAATTAGTACTCACCACGAGTTGCCTCCCTCTTCCAAATGCGTGGGAAAGGAGGCGCCACCCTCTGGCCTCATGCTTCACTCTCTCCTGATATAGCGAGCCCAACACTTAACACTGAATTTACAGGGAAATCCAAAGTGTTATGTGGGGAGGATGGGAGGGCTTACCTCATGAATCAGGATAAGTATAAAATATCAATTTTAATCAGAAAATTACATATTTTTCCTTATCCTGACTCATGCTGTGGGGCGGTGGGGTAGCCTAATGGTTAAAGCGTTGACTCGTCACGCCGAGGACCCGGGTTCGAATCCCTACATGGGCACAATGTGTGAAGCCCATTTCTGGTGTCCCCTGCCGTGATGTTGCTGGAATATTGCTGAAAGCGGCGTAAAATGAAACTCAGTCAGTCAGTCAGTCAGTCTTTTGTTTGTAGAATCCTACAGAAACGGAGGTGGGAAAAACCAGAATACTTTGGATTTAAATAATTAGTGATTTATTTATATATGTAATAACCCCCTACGGGAACTTCATAATAGCACTGAATTAGGATAATTCCTGCTACTATAAAACATAAGTTTTACCAGCTGCCATAGATGGGGTACTACAATAATTAGATACTATGATAATAGTAATAATGGTATAAAAGCAACTCCAAAATGGAGAAGCTACCCAACTGTACATAAACATCAGTACTGGGCTTCAGACTAAAGTAGACTTAAGATATGTATATAATTAGCACTAAAACTCCGTAGAGTTATAAGCTAGATGATACTGGTATGATATATACATAATAATCTCATGAGACTATGTCTCATCGTCCACAAGGGACTGTCAGCTGCTGTGCAAGGACCATGCGGCCGAAATGGTGAATACCTGAGACGTCCTCGGTGGTGATATCTCTCAGATAGTGATTAGCAAACACCATGTCGGATTTCCAAAAGCAGCCCTCCATAATGGTATTCAATGAGCAGTTTTCGTGTAGAGCGAGTGTGGAAGCCATTGCTCTGATTTCATGTGGATTAGATGCTCTTGGAGGGTCGAGTCCTGCAGCCTTGTAGGCATGAAGTATGACAGTTCTGATCCATATCGATATGGTGGTACGAGACTTCGGTCTGAGTCGCTGTCGATAGAGGGATGAATAACCGCTTGAGTTGTTGTCGCCTCGTTTTGGATCGTTGTAGATAGATTTTGAGTGCTCTGACTGGGCATAGAGATAGGTCAAGCGTATCTTGAGGTCCGAGAATTGAGGAGAGTGCAGGAATATGGAATAATCTGTCTGGTTGACCTGGCAATTGATTCTTGGCGATAAAATCCCATCGCAGTCCCATATGCACTATGTTTTGATTGTCGTCAAAACGTATTCTCTCATAATCTAGTGCGTGAATTTCTGACATCCTGGCTGCCGTTGCTAGGGATAACAGGAACAATATTTTCTGTGACAGAAATTCAAAGGTTGTTGATTCCAGTGGTTCATAAGCCTCACTTGTGAGGTGTTGGAGCACTATATTTAGATCCCATGCTGGAGCGCGAAATCTCTGTTTCTGATCCTCTAATCTGAATGCACGTAGTAAGGCCAGTAACTCTGGCGCCTTGGTTAACTTGACACCCGTTCTCATAGTTATCAAAGAACTTAGAGCTGCAAGATATGTTGACAATGTTGAGCCTTTTAAATGTTTATTTTGTCGTAGGTAACACAGATAGTCAGCCACTTGTGGATGTGTAGCATTTCTCGCTGTAAATCCCTTTTTAGCTGCGTAAGTTTCAAAACTGTGCCACTTGTCGTCATACAAGTTGCGTGTAGAATAGCCGTAAAGCAAACGTGACTGCTTTCACCGCTCTGGCTGAATAACCTCTCTTGTTTAGACACACTTTAATACAGTCCATACGTGAAGTTGGAATGCTTCTGGGTTTCTGTGCGCTTGTTTGGTGTGAGGATGTATTAGTAGATTCGAGCCCTTTGGTAGCTCTAGTGTTGGTTGTCAGATTTCTTGAATTAGAATGGGAAACCACGTTCTCACCGGCCAGTAGGGCACGACCAAAATCAGTTGGAGGCTCTGCGGTTGTCTGATTTTCTGTAACACTTGTGGGATTAGCGCTGGCGGCGGAAACGCGTACACGTTGAGGCCTTCCCAGGATATGCTTAGAGCGTCCGTTGCCCACGCTTGTGGATCCGGGACTGGTGATACGAATGTTGTTAGCTGATTGTTGAAGCGAGTGGCGAATAGGTCTACTAGCGGAGCTCCTATTTTCTTGATAATCTGTGCAAAGATTTCTGTATGGAGCATCCATTCTGTCGGTGACGGTAGATGTGGCCGAGGGAGTGCGTCTGCTAGTACATTCTTGGCTCCGGGAATGTGACATACTCTGACATGTAAGTTGAGATCGTCAATTAGATCGAACAGTTGAAAGCATAGAGTCAATAGGTTCAATGATCTCGTTTGTTTACATAAAACGCCACCGTTGAGTTGTCGGTGTGAATCATCAGATGCGCCTTCTGTAGAATGGTGCTCCAATGTAGTATGGCGTTAATTACTGCTTTCATTTCTAACATGTTTATGTGGAGCTTGCTTTCTTGCTGATTCCATAACCCTGATGCCGTCCGGTTGGCGAGATGAGCTCCCCAACCTTGGAGCGACGCGTCTACATAGAGATTGGTTTTGAATTCCGGCTCTGTTAAATAAATGCCTTCGCAGACATTCGACCTCCTGGTCCACCATAGTAGATGAGGTCTGATGTGTTTCGGTAGACTGAATGGTTGTAGGTCGTCGAGATGAGCGTTGATGAAGACCTGTAACGGACGTAACTGTAGTCTGCCTCTGACTGTCATGTCTTGGGCTGACGTGAGGAGACCCAACAGACTCTGCCATTGTCGTAGTGGTAGCGGAGAGAGTAAGGCTTGTGGGATGGTCTGTTGGATCTTGAGCCATTGGTCCTCTGGTACGACGATACGGTTCAGTGTTGTGATAAATCGAATGCCGAGAAATTGCAGATCTTGCGTAGGTTCTAGGTCCGACTTGAGTAGATTTACTAACCATCCTAGCTGTGTTAGTAGCTTGATGATGAAGTTTAACTGTAGTTTGAGACGCTGTGGATCTTGATCTACTTGTATCCCGTCGTCGAGGTAGAATGCACTGCGTAGCCCTAGACGATGTAGGTAGGTGACGATAGGTTTCGTTACTCTTGTGAATAACCAGGGGGCCGAAGATATTCCAAATGGGAGTACTCTCCATTGATAATGCAGCCCGTCTAGTGTAAACCGTAGGTATTTCCTGAATTCGGGATGTATCGGGATGTGTAGATAAGCATCCTGCAGATCTATACTGGCCATGTAGTCCATGGGACGAATTAGGTGCCGTAGTTGAGGTAGATGTATCATGCGAAACGTTGGCGGTTTGCGTAGGTAATCTCTGTTGAACGTGCTCATGTTGTAAATGAGTCTGAACTTTTCCTTGGAGTTTTTCTTGGGCACTAGGAAAACTGGGGAGTAGAAGCCTGGTTCGATGTTTACTTGATCTAGTACTTCAATTGCCTGCTTGGTTAGGAGAGATGTAACAGCCTCTCTTAACTTTGGTAGTTGTTGCGCCTGGAAGTCGAACTTGTGAGGGTTGACTGTAAGCGGAGGCGTGGCCTGTAGTTGGATTCGATATCCGTGTTGTAGGATGTTGGAGACATACGGATCCTGTAGAATTCCCCAGTTCTCCCAGTGCAGTTGAAGGCGTCCACCCACTTGTGATGGTTGTACTGGAACGGCTGGGGGTGGAAGAATCCAATCATTCCGAACCTGTCTTTCATTGTTTATAGTTGCGGGAACCTCTGGGTGCCCTGCCTCTTCCAGATCCTCCTCTGTAGTTGCCATATGGGCGACGAAAAGAATCTTTTCCTCTTGAGCTGGCCATCTTCCTGTCCCGTGCTTTCTGTAAGCCAGTGAATTTTGATCTTCCTGAATATCTCTGTGAAGTCTGCCTGATGACGCTGGCTAGTGTGTCCATCGACTTTATCATAAGGACTTCTCTAGAATCCTTGGTGACTTCCTTAGAGACTTTATCTATTCCTCCGTCGAAGATAGATGGCGTAGACCACGGGGCTGTGTAGAGTGGAGCTGTAAACTGCTCACCCTAACCACAGGAAGCGAGGTGACCTTGACGACGAGCCAGAGTAAGCGCTGCAGAGACTGATGTAAGATGATCCATTAGAAACTGCTGGTCCTTCTGCATAAGTAGGGCCGAGTAGATCATTCTGTCATCTTCAGATGTCGAATCTCGAAATCTGGTGATAAGAGTCTCATTAATCGTTCTTGATCTGTTAAGGCCGAAGAACATTCGCCTTGTCATGGTTTCGATCTGAACCAGCTTGCGGTCATCAATCTTATAGTTCTTATTCTTGACATCGTTGATTACTTTGTAGTTATCGTCGATCTCTTGTGCCTTGAAAAAAAGGTCCATATTATGGGTTGAGAACTTTTAGCGTTGAACTGTGGTAAGTGCGGAGCTTGGGCTTTAGTGGCTTTATGCAATGCTGTGTCCAGATTCTGTGGGACCGTAGCTATCGGAGGTAGGGTGATGGTGTCTGCATCGTCCTCCCTCATAAGGTAAGTGTGGGCCGGATTACCATTCTTGGAAGGTAAGATAGGTCCAGGTTGTTAACCATCCAATAGCGTATTTCTGCGTCGGAGAAAATGATGCCTCCATCATCTTCTGTAAGTGACTGAGGTTGAGACCTGTATACTTCTACCGCTGTGCAGGGTGACGTCAACGGAGACCTGTCTGGGGACTTCGGTGAAGACTTGTGAGTCGAACAGTGTGGTGACCTGCGAGGAGATCGGCGAGGTGAACGACGAGGTGATCGGCGTGGAGAATGGCGAGGAGATCGTCTTGGTGAACGGCCTGACGAGATGCGTCTATATGGTGACCTTCGGGGAGATCTATGTGGTGAACGTTGATAGCTTCGCGAAGCTCTTGTGGAATCCCTCGATGACCTTCTAGACGAAGATGACTTGGAGCCTGTAACTGGTGCCCTTCGCGAAACTTCATCCGAGTCCGGTCCTGGGGAGCGACGACTTGACCTTCGCGAAGGCTGGGGGTCCGAGTCAGAGAGGATCTTCCTTCGCGAACCTCTCCGTGAGTGTTGATCATCGGAGTCCGAGGTAGGTGACGATCTAGATGTCCTTCTCGAAGGCCTTCGCAAAGGCTGTACATCTGGGTTCTTTGCAGAGGTGGTCTGTGACTTCCTTCGCGGAGGTGGCTTAGTAGTGGCCGCTACGTTGACGGGGGGTCCCTCTGGGGTGACGTCTACGTTGGAGCCTTCGCGAAGGCTCAGGCTCTGGGCTGGTTGTCTCTCCAGTCTCTAGCGGAACACCAGACGGGAGGGGGTCGTCCGACAGCAGTTGACTGGCGAGGAGTTCCGATGTATCGGCCATGGCTAAACCCTGTTTGCGTGACCTATCTGCTGCGCGTCTCAAGAAGCAAAGATAATATTTGTTAAACGCAGAATTAGACAAATTAATACAGTAACTGCAACGTGAAGAAAACGCACATGGTGCAGTACAGCTAGGGCATATTAAATGCGGATCAGCAGCAGAAAAACGTAATCTACAAATAGCACAGATTTTCATCAACGTAAACTTGCTGAACAATCACGGCGTCCCGTGAATAAACAGCAGAATTATGAATAAATATCAATGCATAATTGTTGAAGGATACTACTAGCTACACCTCTATAGTAGACTATAAGCCGTAACTAACTAAGAATAATCAAAGGATATAGTGTGTAGGGAGACACAGGCGCTCTCACATCCTGCTCACTGGGCGAAGAAGGAGAGAGTGAAGCATGAGGCCAGAGGGTGGCGCCTCCTTTCCCACGCATTTGGAAGAGGGAGGCAACTCGTGGTGAGTACTAATTAGTGATTTTACATTGAAGGGAGCTTCAATTAGGGAGATACAAGTGTTCCACTTTGTTCGCAAGAAGAAGAAGACAAGCAAAAGAGCATGAGTCAGGATAACGAAAAATAAGCAATTTGAAATTACAGCCGCTTGTTAAAGTGACTCCCCTCTTCATGTTGACTGAAACAGCTTGTTTTGGAGACACTACCCACCCCACTTTCAATGACGTAATCATAAGGGCATAGCTTATTCTAATGTTTTCACTTATGCATACATCATGCCAAGGGTTTAAACTAAATACACACAAGTGTCAGCTCACAATATATTGTAAACAGTGCCAGATTTAATATCCAGACACAATGATTTTGAAAGATTAAAATGGGGGTGTCCTTAAAAAATAGCCCCCGGCTAAATATAAATCAGGCAATCCAAATCTTTGACTGTTGATCATGATGGGAAGTCATCCAATACTATGCTGAAGATATTTTATATGACATTTTCTGAAGGCATACCATTATCCAAGAGGTACCAAAAGACAAATCGTTTTTCATTTTCTGCAATTTTGTTAGAAATATTGTACCCCAATGTGTTGTGATGACAAATATCTGGTTAACCACATTACCCACACATGTGAAATTTTGGATATGGCTTTGCTAACGATTCCTTCAAAACATTGGACATCGAGAATATAGTTGGGCTACGTACTTTTTGATCGACCCTTGTACACTGAACACCTCTTGTTGTGGAGAGAAAACTCGAAAATTGCACATGCTTCACTGCTTTTGTCAAACTTCACAAAGTGTCTTGCTTGACATCATGTGGATGTGAATTATCTGATTATATGCAATATGTGCATGAGTGTGGAAACTGCACCTTAACCATAAGCAAATGCTTTTTTTCAAACGTTAATACTGTAATTGTATTCGACTTACATTTTGTTAAACTCGTTTGCAATATAAATAAACGAAAATAGAGACTATCACATGATCCACACTTCCAAATCAAAGACACATGTTTGTACTTCTGTTTATTCAACAGACAACATGTCCAGCCAGTTCTCTGGTTAACCTCAATCCCATATGACGCTTTTCGCATTCCTTTCTGTTAACAGCATGTTTTACGTACCTGATGCTCTCTTTACTCGCAGGCATTCTGGTTCTGTAAAAGAAGGAAGACACTGAAACTACCAGAAACAACATTGTAAAAGATTCCCGATGTGTGAGCTTTTGTGGACAAATATGACAATTATATGCATTTGGCGGTTAACTCGAAAAATGTAATTATACGCTTGTCGGTGCATTCGTACGTATGTGTCGTTTAAAAAGTATATAATGGCAGGTTCTGGAGGTGTGAAAGACTAAATCCGGGTGTCCTAAAATATTACTAAAATACTGTCTGGTTGACCGGTAATCTAGGTCTGGCCATGTTTCCTTGCTAGCACTAATAAACAGAGCAGTGGTGACTTGTAGTCACTATGACAACCTTATCGAAGACATAACAACATTTAAATGTGATACGGTATTTTACAACCACTTCTTATAATGTATTCTACAACTACTGTTTCGAGCAACATTGCCACTGTCATATACGACTAGCAGGTCTTTCAATTGCTAATCTTCTTGTTTCAACGTACGTTTTCATTGGCCTAACAGAGATTATTGTGTACAAATCAACAATGACATGTATGTATTATGTTGAAAGTCCTTAACAACACACAGAGGTTTACTGGATTTTGATAAAAGGATGGCTCTGCACGCTGTCCATGACAATTAACTCGAAATATTACCCCAACATCATCATAAGAAGTATACTAATGCTTAATCCCTGAATATATATAATTTTGATAGTAACAAATAAACCCATTTAAATTGAAAAGCAGTCCCAGTCAGATGGGAAATCCAGACTCGCTTCTTTTAGGGCTTCAGCATTGTAGGGAGGGCTAGGCAGTAGGGAAATTAATGTGGTTCGGGGACTGTGAGAGAGACTACATAAGAAGTTGTAGTACATAATACTACTTCTCAGTGTGTCATTAATAACCCCCGATTCAGACCTGTGTGATCCCATTAAGAAAGATATATACTAGTAACTTGCATTATACTCAATATGCAGACGACCACGAGAACTATTACATAGGCATGTGGAAATTACTTTTGAACATTATTCCAATATGATCTTAAGGAGTTGATTCGGTGTAGTTATGTCTGAACCATGTCTGGGAAATTATCTTTTCATACATAAACAATTGAGTAAGATAAGTCCGTTGTATATTTGTACACCAGTGTTATCTATGCATTGTAAGAATATGTGTTGATTTGGGTTGAGACTCGGTGAAATATTAAACGTAGTACTCTATATATCAACTAAATGAGTAGTCGTATCAACAGCTTAAACTACAGAAGCAGCTCTCTGCAATGCAATTAAAATATTTAAAGGTCACATGCAACGTAAAACACAACTTTGGAGATTCTGATACCTTTCGGTATGGACATACCGAAACAAATCGTCAAAAATGCAAATTCAACTTATAAAGTTGAAAAATAACACGATGAAAAAAAACGTGCGAAATCGGAGTTCAAACGTTTCACTAATTTTCCCCAGACTTTTCTGGGGAAAACGGGTTTCAACAGCTGGGCTGCGCTCATAGCACGTGCGCAAGTAAATAGGTTCGCGCAGCTTGGAAGCGGGTTGTTGGGTGAATACTCGGTGAAGGCTTTGGTGTGAGCTATTTTTCTATTGTTTTGTTGATATCTCACAGACGCAAGCTTTTTATATGGTATGACAGTAAATTAACTGTTTCTATAATTTCATTTGTCTATTTCACCACACGTTCTTCTTACCGAGACACTTTCTCAGTTCGATACTTAAAGCAATGTCATTATTTAGCGTTGACACAATTTCTAACTGTGATATAGATATGTCGTTGTCACAGACAAAACTCAATGTCTTGTTTTATTGACACCTGTGTGTCTGCCTGCCTGTCTGCTAATGACAATATTCAATACACAACTGCTATCACTGACCACATGCAATTTGAACTTAACACCAATCAGGCTATACACCATAAACAAAATGCATTGATTTATGGCCTCTGTCACATTATGTAATTACACAGACAGGCAGGTGTGATACTTGAACACATGACATGTTATGATGTCTGTTTATTGCAAAATGTTATACACAAAAAATGAGCATGTATTTACAAAACCCAACATCTCTCTATATATATACACACAATTAGCCGTGAAGGCATCTGCAAATGAACCAGCCGTTACACTTGAGTGCAGACCCACCCGCTCTGACTGGGTTCGGTATCCCGCTGCTTCGTTTCTTGGGAAGTAAACCGAAGTACACAATTTTGCACTTTCGATTTGCGATTGTACGCTTATAATTTTGTTTATATATTTTTTCGTAACCAGCAACGTATATTATATGTCATGAATAAGTGATAATTGTGTTTTAATTATGTTTGATTTTTTGGTTGCATGTGACCTTTAAGCATAAAAAAGATTGTAGCTCACAGATAAACACACATCCTCGTTGTTTCTAATTTTGCAAGAATGTATATGCTACCGTAGCTATTTAAAGCTTGGAGTCAGTCAGTGTCATGCGAAGGTATATATTTATATGTCCTTCGTCTACATCAACATTTCATGTATCTAATAGCGTCATGTGAAGGCATATAAATATCTTCAGATCATGTTTCGCAAATCGTCATATGAAGGTTAATATTTATATGACCTCTGTCTACATCTACAGATCATGAATCACACAGTGTCGTGTGAAGGTATTTAAATATATGTTCAGATCATGTTTCACATATCGTCATGTGAATGTATATATTTATCTGACCTCTGTCTACATCTTCGGTTCATGTCTCACATATCGTCACGTGAAGGTATATATCGATATCACCTCTGTCTATATCAACATTTCACGTATCATATAGTGTCACGTGAAGGTATATAAATGTATGTCCTTCGTCTACATTTTCAGATCATGTTTCACATATCAATGATGCCCTAATTTGATATTTACTGTGTTTCCATGTGCATCTAGCACATGACTTGCCTTTGCATGTGTTTGTGACTGGTGGCACCGGTGGGGCAGCATAAGCTTATCTTTTGGCGAACACCTGGTATCATCACTATTTTATAGTGATTCATGAACGCATGCTCATGATATACCTGGAATCATACAAGTCTGCTTTCGGCAAAGATGTCTTAAGAAAATGGATTCTTTTTGTGTTGGATGAAAGCCAGGAATGCTAACAACTAGACCACATTGGAAGCTGATAGACATCAGGAATGGTGAAGGAAATGTTTTGTTATCCATTTGGTCTATACATTTCTGTGCCATGTGTGTAACAAAACTGGTAATACGATTTTACGCAATTTCTTTTGTCCTGGTTTTCGTCCGGATGTTTCAAATTTTAGTGAAACGTGTCAGGCAGTATGGAAAACTAAACAATCACGTCTTTGACGGCGACACAAGCTAGCTATTTATGGAGACCTTCAATCGCATCACTGTTGATTGAGGTTGTAACCTGCCTAAAACAACCTCTGGTAACCAGATTTTGAAAACAATTATGTGCGCTTCGGCAATTGCATGCATCGTTATGGACACCAACTTGCTCCACTTTGTGAAGACCCTTTCCTTTATGCACATATACAAGAAGTTCTGCTCGGTTGGCAAAGTCAAAAGAAGGTATCTGAGAAGATTAGATTGAGCTTCAGGTATATCTATGATCTGCTTTCCTTCAAAAGAGATCAGATATTCCCTTCCGCTGCTCCACCTGAAGAAGAAGTACAGGAATCCAGTGAGACCGCCTCATCTGTTTCATGTTTAACCCTATCCATAAAGATTCAGAGTGCAATTTCCACAAGACTGTGTGACAAGAGGGCTAACTTCAACTTTCCAAACAGAACACTCTCCCTGTTTTGTTGACCAATATTTTTACAGTTCCGACCTTTGAGGTGCAATCGAGCAGTTTTCAAAGATCGTCAAACGGATCTTGTACAGAAGCTGCTAGATCAAGTTTACAACATTCAAAGTCTCACTAAAGCTTTCAGAACCATGTATGGTACACATGGGCATTTCAAATCTGACGCATCACTGACAAGAATCAAGTCCTGTGTTATTCCCTATTCTGACTTTAAATTTACGTTCTCATGTTTTCTAGGATTTTCTTTTCTTTTTTTTTTGCATGTGAACAAATGACATGCCTTTGCATGTGTTTGTGGCCGGTGTCACCGGTGGGCAGGATAGGCTCACATTTTCGCCAACACCTGGTGTCATCACTAAATGTTACTAGTGATTCATACACACATGCTCTTATTCTACAGTCGACCTTTGTGAATACGGAAAGGGTTTTGTCACTTTGATTAGATCAAAGTCTTCGCCATAGTTGGCTTATCCAAAGTAGTTCATACTATCACAGTAAGTCTATACTACAGGTCTGGAAGCCGCGGTAGCTGAGTGGGTAGACGACTGACTTTGTGTGCTGGCGATTAAGTGCCAGATAATTTATGATTTGGTAGTTAAACAGTTCAGTTTATCAACCTCGGTAACAAAGTGCATTGGTGCAGTATTGGCCTGATCAAATATGTTGATTTCAACAAGAATTTTTGCAATTTGCTTGTCGGTTTTGTTCTTTAAGAATGATTAGGGGTTGCACAAAGCACGTTCCCCAAAACACTGGCTTCATGTCTGACCTTCACTACTGTCACATAATTTGAAATCCTATTTTCAAGTTAGATGCCAGTTTTAATTCTTGATACTGTGATATACTAGTTGGTTTTGCTGTCCCTTGTCAACATCATTTTTTTTAAACTTGTGTATTTATCATGAATTAATAACTATTTTTAGTCATGATTTTGCAATACTGTCGCTCAGGCTATAAACTTTAACTCAATCACAACTGTCACCACTTTCGCTGACATTTCCTTCTTGTGTTCTATCATAAGTGATGAACATGGAAAATTGTCTGTGTTTGATGTTCATCCATTACTGTTAAGACGATCACAGGCAGCACCATACTATCTGTTTTGCCAACTTGTATACTAGTATTTGTATTTTCATACCAGCATCAGCTACACTCCAAGCACCAACTATTTACTAGATCGACAGATCTATTCATCCATTCTTCCCTAACAAGGTTA